ATGAATGAACAAATGATAAAAAGAGTACCACTACACTATTTCTCGCACATTAAACAATCTCTAGCAACACAAATTTTATAATTTAGTAGAAATTTTTAAAACTGACTTTTGGCCGGCTAAATCGGTCAAATCAAATGGCACTTCTCGCTATCGCTATCCTATAAAGAAAATTCGGTGCACTGATTTGAAGCCAGTGTAATTTATATTACCATTTATGTATCACCAGAAAAATGAAGCTGGGCACAATAGCGTTTATTCTACGTTACTCGTTTCATTTTTTTGTTATTTTATTATAGGATTTCCAAGACCGAAGTATAGAAATTTCATGACACTTGGACAAAGATGATACAACGCGAAGGGAAGAAATTATCAATATTTTAACTTTCTTGTTTATTTATCTAACAATCGAAAGGAATGGCTTCTTCCACTTCCGTGAAAACAATAACAAGTTTCATAGCTGTTATACATGTTTTATGAAGAAATGCCACATAATTACGGAGCTTAAGGTGAAAGTTGAGAACGCTCAGTTCTCGCTTTCCTGGAAGGCTTCACGTTAAAAGGATCTCCAAACAGTGTATCTTCGTTTAGTTGCCAAGATACACCCTTGTATCACGGAAGCTCATAAAGATTTTCGAATAAGTATTACAAGCTAATTAGCTACTTCCTTGGTACTCAAGGCCGCAATATGATCTCGAATATTAACGTACACGAATGCTTGTTCGTGTAAAAGCAATTACTTTAAAAGCGTATACCTTGAAAAAAAAAAATCTCTCCGTATTAATTATTTTATCCTAAAAACTTTCCTTAATTTATCCCTCTTCCTCTGCTTGCACCTTCGCTTCCTAAGATACTTTCAAACTTTATCTACGAAGTATATGTATACCTACGATTACTGTTAGAATATTTCAGGTACCCGCACACTTCTAATTATTACGCTATGTTAGAATTGTTATTTTCGTAAAGTTTCGTCGATCTCAGCTTTCGAGTACGCCTTTCGATTTTTCCATTTTCAAGCTTCAAGCTCAAAAACAACGATAGGTTTGTTTTAATATCCGTGTCGGAGCGGAATTCGATCGCTGTTTCCTTCATCGAAGCATTTCCTTTGCTTTGTTTCTTTCTGTGATTGTCGAGCAATAGCGCGGTATCGGCCGATACCGACAAAAGAGTTGGCCCGTATCGGTCGGTCGCTGATGGAGCGACCCGCTAAGAAATCTGATTGTAAAGGACGAGCGAGCTAACGCTTCCATTTTTCCTGCGGCATTGCCTGTATCCCGCAAAAATCTATTTCTATCTTTTTATTTCTTATTCCGGAGAGTCGCGCGCCGCCGCCTTCGCCGACTTCGGTCACGGTTGCTTCGTTCGTTCTCGCCTCTCAAAGAAATATCACGACTATTTCAATTCTCGCTGATATTGCCGGCCGATAGACGAGCAAGAGCTTGCCCGAGGCGAACCGGAACCATCCTTTATTTTATATGGAGCCACGTACCCGTGTAGCATTACCAACCCTCTACCACTGATTCGCTACCCTTACCTTATTTCTGCCTCGCTTCCCTTCTCCCTTTTCCATTCACCTTTCTCCCTTACGATCAACCTTATCTTTAATATAAACACCTTATCAAGAAAATTCTTTCTTTTCCTCTTTTTCTTTTCGATCACCGTTAACCGTTGCTACGATGTGTTTCGTTGTTTTAAAACCGACCATCGAATGGGGCAAGTATTATCGAAATTTTACACATTTTTATGGTTGTTTATGTCTGATTGAAAATGAAATATACAGATTTTTCTACGATCTGTACGATAACTATATGAATTCGCGTAAAAATTGTTTTCAACGAGAAAATGAAACCTATCATAGACGTCTGCTGGAAGCAAATAATCGGGGAGCTTGAAATACCATCGTTCCTTCGACCCTCTTACCTGATAGTATAAAAATTCTTAATCTAAAACCAATTCAGGGGAGTGTGCTATGAAACCCCATGATTTTTGTAGAAACACGCTCACCTTATGTAACGGGGAATTGGTAAAAGGTATTTCCTAATATCGAACCGGCGCGGCGTCCCTTGAAAAAGAATGTTGAAGTGACGTCGCAAAAAGGGAAAAAGGAAGAGTGAAAACGAGAGAGAGAACGAGAGAGGAACGTAAAGCGTAGAGTAAAGAGAGACGGTGAACAGGGTCACGTTCGACTCTTCTCACTCTCTTGCAGAGAAACCTGCCAAAACAAAAGATTCGAAAATTCCTTCGAGAAGCAAAATAGCGATGGTTATAAGCGGATCAAATACCGTCCCGTAAAATCGTGCCCTTAACTCCTTATAATAATAGCTTATTGTCAGAAATATCATTACGTACATCAACCCTTTCTATTTGGATTTTATTCTTTTTCTTCTATTTATTGTCTAAATAAAGATTATTTTGTACGTTCTTATAGGGGCATTCCATGTGAAATCGGAACACGATGTCGGATTTTGCTTTTAGTGATATGTAAACGTATCTCGAAGGATTTTTAAAAATTATTCAAATTGTTGATTTTACACCTGTTTGAAATACAGTGCTCGCATTTTTTCAATAAATTATAACTGCAGAACTAACAAACTGATAGAAATGAGCGTCCAGATACTTAAAGAAAAAAGGTTTTTTTACCGCTTATTTTACAATTGTTTTAAACAAATGCAATTTTATAATAGTAGGGAAATATTGAAAAATCTGAAGAGAAAAAAATGAGAATATAGTCTTATTTATCCTGTTTACGGACCAATTTCCAAAAATACGGACACTAAAATTGGCCATAATACAAAAATTAATTAAAGTTAACGCTACGTCAGGGCGCGCTGGCTCGACCGGCCGAGTCGAGCGGTGCTAGTAGAGCCAAGCGACTACATATATACCTGCCATAGTTATACAAGACTAATATTCCTAATAGTTATTGTTTATGTAACCATATTTATATAGTCAAATAAGCTGACAAAAAATATATAAAATAATGGAAACATGTAACGCCTATTGTCTCATAAAAATTACAAACATTCTAATGTTTCTACCCTCTCCTATATCGTCATTTTCTTGAGGGAAGCCTATTTCGCTCGATAATGTACAATTATCAAGATCTAATCTTTCTTCCAATTCGTATTCAATTGTCGGAAGTGAAACCGAGTTCCCTAGTAATTTCTAGTCTATGAAATAAAGGTGGATCGTAAATGAGCTAAATTAGCACGTGTTCTCCAGAGGAGGATCTTTGAATTTTAATAGAAATTAGTTGTAGTTCAGCTGGTTTATACGGGCGTGTCAAGCGTAAATGCTAAACCCTGCCGCATAAATCTTATAAACTTGTAACTAAGGTATGTTTTATAACGCGATTTTATCTACGGTACATTTACTATAAAAGCAAGCAAGTTTATACAAATGCCGTTATCGTATGCATGTGCCTGATTGGAAATTCATGGCTATACAAACAGTTTATTACTTCGTTCTCGGTCGCAAATGAATGTATTTGCATTCAACAATTTTTATCGATTTTTAACCGACAGTCCGTTGTAATTTTGTTTTACATATGAAACGCAGTATTTTACGCGGACCATGCGAATAACTGGCAGCTACGTTAAATTTATAAGCACGAAATTTTACATCGCCATGCCACTTTCCAACCGAATGACAATGTTTATTTTTTCCGAGATTGACAAGGGTATTTGTTATACTCGAACCGATCGAAAGTTATTTATTTTGTTGAAAAATAGAAGATGTATATTTAACACGTCCAAAGGACGAATGCTAATCGAATCGATTAAAAATTTAGCCTATTAGGTATACCGGAGGGGTTGTTGAAAAATTTGGCTGAAATCAACGGGAATCGTGGGAAATGGACGAACGATTGGAAAGATAAAAAATAAAACGATGCAGAGGAGAGTCGAAATAATGGAAAAGTAATTACAACGGAAGGTAGCATTTCACGGTTCAGCTGGTCAAACGCGATACGCAACAGTCCAATACGTTTTGTTATGTATGTATATACCATTTAAATTTCTACTTTACCATATTAAACAGCTTGTTTGCCGCGCGACAAGTTGACTGACGGTTAAAAAAAAAAAAATATACTCAATATTACACGCGCAGCTATGAATCCGTTTATCACGCGAATCTTTTCAAAGAAGAACTTTGAAGATATCGAAGGAAAAGGATTCGTTAGCCCGTACAGTTCCATCAACCCATACGCCAGTTTATTAATTGAAAGCGAAAGAAAGAGGCAGAAAGGGTTGAAAGTCGTATACGCTTTTTTCCTGAAAGTTAGGTTTCCTTGAAGCGAGCTAACGCTGCGCGTAAATTCCGAGTAGAAACACGCGTTCACAGTCACCGGTTAAAGTGTGTGCGATGCGCATAGAATTTGATAGCGCGAAAGGGGTGCGCGGGCCAATTAGAGGATTCTGCGCGACTCTCGAAAGGGTAGAGACCTAGAGACCGATCCGAGCGAGTTAGTCAGTCAGCCAAGCCCGTCAACCGGTTACCTCAGCCATCGCGTAAGAGTCGCGAGCAGAGCATTTCGAAAAGGCACGACGCCGCGCCGCGACCGGTGCACCAGGAGTGGCTTGCAGGTTTCGTTGGTGGGAGATGCTCGACGGTTTACAGACGGAAACAGAAATAGAAAAGTAGAGAGCGCAAGACAGAGAGACGGGGCTGACAGACAGACGGAAAGATCCGGAGAGAGCGTGGATCGAGTGAGAGGAGAGGTGGGATAGAACGGGGGTGAAACGGAGAGGGCGAATAGGGTGCACGTCTCGGCTCGGATAACAGGAGCAGAGACGCGGGGGTAAATCGGAGGAGAAAGGGAGACGGTGAGAAGATAGGTGGTCCGCGTTAAACGAGGAGAGAACAAACGCGGAAAGGACGAAAGTTAGAGAGAGACCGCGTAAGGGTGAGAGCGCAGGGGGCAGAGAATAGGGTAGAGAGTGGGCGGTAAAGCGGCGGAAGGGTAAAGAGCGGAGGGATGGAGACCGAGAGAGCGTGAGAGGCTAGCGATTGTGCTACAGTCGCACCGCGACACCCCACGAGTGAAACCGCGCGCGTGCCAATCTGCTACCGTACTCCCGTGCTCCCGTGTTCCTGTGCTCCACTAGCCGTACACACCAGAAAGGACCTGCGAACAGTGCTATGCTTTTAAGGCCGTGGCCAAAGCTTTTCCTCGTTTTTCTCATTCTCCTCGTTTTCCTCGACGTCGACGAGTCGACCAGTCGAACGTCTTCGTGGAAAAGGAGCAGCTTTTAATCGGGTAAGTGGTTCAAAATCCCAACCACCTCGATGCCGTCTATGAAAATTCATTCTTCCGCTCTACGGCTATTTCTTTCTTTTCCGAACTTACTCGACGAGCGTTGTCTCCAGAGGGAATCCGTTACGTTCTACGATTCTAAGAAAATTCCACGGAGACCTGTTGATGAGATCTCGTTTGTCTTACAATCGCCACGGTTTCTTAACGCTTGCGGACGTTGTAAGTTGATCGAACTTGATCACTGACCGTCGATTATTCGTTACTTCGATTTGTTCAACGTGCGCGACGAAATATGTACGCGAAACGTAAACTCGTAAAGCTGCTTCGATGAATTTTCTGACCAAGTGACGCATCCGTAACGCATCTGTTGCCTCGTCCTGATCGCGAAAGGCTGCTGACCGTACTCGGCGCCGCGAACAGTATTTATATTGCTAGATATTTGTTTCGTTTCGTTTTAAAAAGTTTCTCGAGCAGAAAGTGCTTTTTTCCTTCCGTTAAATAACGGTAATAAATTTATCATTCGACCTAAATCACTGCAGCGGATTCGTGCTGAATGCTTCGATACGAAATAATATCCGTCAAACATTTAAAACGAATCGCTCCTCGAAGCGCTTCGTTTCGCCGTTCAAATTATTCTCCGTTCGTTCGGTGACGCTTTTATGTTCGTAATTAACGTTTCAGAGCTCTGAAACTTCAAATAATCTCCAGGAAAAGGTTTTCCTTGGATAATTAACGATGCTTACTTTCGAAAAGTACATTGTACAATGTAATTAAAACGCGTGTCAAAGTCAGTTTCCTGCGCGTTTTTTCTTCTGTACGCGGCGGAAAGGAAAGAAATATCCCACACTCGATGAGGTGTTCGGAGAAAAGAAGATAGGTGAAATTGAAAATGAAATTGTACGGTCGCGTTGCGTTTGGAATACTGTTATAATCGAGGGGTAGAGGTAGAAGAGGCCGAGCGCGAGGGTAGAAAGTGATTCCTTAACAGAGTAGCTGCGGAGGTGTTCTATAAGCGAACAGAAGGAGCCTGCATGCGCGAATACCGTCAAGTTCTTTTGTTCGTCGCACCCTTTACCAATTCATTCGGTAGAGACGTACGTGTAGTGCTCTTTCCCGAGCCATCGTGCTCGTTCCGAGCACCTGTGGACCGCCGACCCCTTTCCAGCCTCAACTTTTCTTTGAAGAACTGCCAATGACTTCCGGCTGACTCGTAGAACCTGTTGATGATCCCCGTTGCTTCGACGATTTTTTATCGTGAAAAATCGAATTACCTACGGTCTCTGTGTTTGCTCGAGAAAATGATTTCGGCAAAAAGCTTCGCGTTGAACGCAAGGTTGCATTCGCGGAACGCGTGTTTACACGACTCGCAAGAAACTGAATTATCTGATTTCACTGTTTCAGCTGATATCGCGTCTGAGACGAGAATGTATCTCGCACGATACGTCGGCGAATAAAACCAACTTGCCACGCGGCGTTTCCTTCCGCTTTCGGTTGTTCCAACAGCAGCGGCTGGGAAATCGTCCGGGAGGTTCTTAATTATTTTCTTTATCTCGCCTATCCGAGGTTCCGCAGCACAGCGCATTTTTCTCCTCGACGTTTCATTTGCCTTCTCTCGCGTTCCTGGCTGCTCCAATTAATACTGGCTATTTTGTTTTGCCCACGAATTTGCCTTGAGAATCCTCGAAACGTGCATCCTTGATGCACCGCTGTCGAGTGCAGGTGAATATATGCGCGTCCACGAGATGTCTGTTAAATATCGCCGGAATAAAAGAAAGCATAGTAGGTATTCGTCGTTACGCGACCTTCCATTATACAAACTCTTCTTCGGGGATATTCTTCTTCTTCGAGCTGCTGCTCCGTTATGCCAGAATCGAAACGGAGCGACTGCCGTCACCCGATGCAGCTGGGTTCTGATTATTTCGAGCGGTTCTCGTCGATTGTAAAAAGAAACCTTTCGGAATAGAAACAGGCTGACTTTAACTTTTCAAATATCGGATTGAAGTTCGAAGGGAAAAAATAATTTGTTTGTCGTTATCCGCGAATATAAAACAGTTGCGAAAGGGGTAAAAGAATTGTTCGTCGTACCTTATTAATATTGCGATAACGAAGTGACTATGATTCGATGAAGAAGATTTATCGAGGATACGCGTAAGTGGTAGTTATAGATAGTAAAACGTCCTTGGTGAAATAAAAGTCGTCTTACAATGACGCGTGAAACGGACAGCTATGATATTATTCTCAATAGCAGAGAAGGTCGAGGCAAACGATGTTAGCCATTGCAGAGATGTCAACGCTTTATTAGCGACGCTTCTCCTACCTATTCTTCTCTCTTATTCCGTTGATGCGTTCTTCCTGCTTGCCCGATGGACTCTGTTCCTCGCGACGACCATTAACCATTCCGACGCAATTTTCACCGACCGATGGAGAAACTTTCCGTCGGAGAATGACGCAAGCGGACGTTTAAACTGTAGGTAGATGGTGTACCTAAGTACTAACACCTAACAACGCATTTAGCTTCTTTTTCATTTTCTATTTCCTCTTACCGAAGTAAAGTTTCATTTCTTTAACTCTTCTTGGTATCTATAATTGCCTGAATACGTCTCGGCATGCTTTCCATATTATTTCGGCAATCTTCTAGCATTTCCGGGTCCGTAATGCCATACGAATATAATTTTCTCAACCAGTTGTTGCTTGTTAGTTATTATCTCTGATACAATGCGACACTTCAATAATTCCCATAGATTTTCTATTGGGTTCATATCTGGTGAGTTTCCAGGCCACGGTAAAACTTGAATTTTTTTATTAGTTAGGCAGGCTGTTACGGTTTTTGCTGGAAAGGGAATACATAATAGCATCGGAAACATAAAATATGTAAGTTTTCCATCTGTTCATAATAATTTCATCACCCACTGTAGCTACGATCGTAGACTGGCATAATAAAATCTTTGTTAGGTACGTAATCGGACATAGATTGCGAGCAGAAAGAAGATTCGAGGCAGATTTCCATAGGTTCGATAGAAAAATGAAAGCAACGAGGAACATTGAAAAGTGGAAACTCGTCGAGTTTTCGAGCCAAGTAATCCCTATCTACTCAGAAATCCTTTCGAAAGTTGATCCTCAATCACGGAACGTTTTCTCAATGTAGAATGCGCGTATTACCAATGAATCGTCCTCTCCTCCTCTTAACGATTTTTCGGTTACCTCCGTAAAAAACGGTCAATTGGAAAAAATTTTCATTCCGAGCGTACCGCGCTCCCAATTAATTCGTTTTTATGAAACCCCTGAATTCATTGAATATGATTTAATTACAACTTCGAAGAAAAAAAAAAAGCGGCATGATATTTAAAAGTTTCATATTTTCGTTAAAGTATCATTGAATCGAAAATAGCTAAAATCAACGTTCGAAGCGATAAAAGACGTTTTAAAAAAGTAATCGCGTTGTTCCTCCGAATGCTCAAAGCCTCGTGAAATCGAACGATCGATCCGTGTTTCTCGCTTTCTGAATTCGTCACGATAAGCTTCGATTCCCATTTTTTTCCTTTCTTTATTCGATATTTCTTCGTGCGTGATCAAGATCAGTTGCAAATGAAGAGGGAAAAAATTAAAAGTTCTGGTATCTGTATATTATGATCTCTTCATCGATAAGATAATTACTCTATTGCGCAAGGCCTACTTTGCTCTTTTCTGAATACTCCAAGTTGCGACCAACTTTGACGTATAATCGCGAAGTATGAGTTTTGTCGTAATTTCTTAAAGTGACAAATTAGGGCAAAAGACTCTATCTTTAAGTACAAAAATCTTTAATTCAATTCATTATTATTGTAAACAGTGCCGTTGTTGATTCTGGGTTTCTTGGCGATTAAACAATACAATAGAGCTTCAAATCCATTTCAAAATTTATATATATTTTGATGAATTATTTTTTTTTACTCTTCCAGTTATATTCAATGAACTTTTTGACAAGCAATTTCCAGCAGTCAGTGGGATTGTTTGTGGGATTCCCTTGACTGAAAACTTCTGAATTTACATATTTGTAACAATTTGCATTTGTTTCCGCAACCAAATTGTATGTTTCAATCGTATTGTTCGCGGGTTAAATTTATATTATTTTCGAAATTTATTATTAAACACACAATTTCAATGATTACTTTCATAATATATTATTTTTCGTTTATTTTAATTATTTCTCATTTACTTCGACTTAACTTTCTTTATTATCCTCTAGTATTTATTCCACAATATTAGAAAACCCATTTGCAATAGAATTTGTTAGGATTTATTTCTCTTGCTTTAAATCGTCGTACGCGTGTTATGTTTACTGGTAATCACATTGTTCGACTACCACACTACCACATTTCACACTCTGGCATTCATATTATAAATACACCCGGTACGCGCGCCGCACGTAACACACTACAAAGAAGAAACATTTCCGCAAGCAACGGAAATATCCACGGTACTTACGATCCGACTGACACACTGACACTGATACATCCGCTTAGACCAGCCCGGGGCGTAAGGTCGCGCCATCGCCATTGCATCGCGTCTTTTTCCAAATTTCTCCTACACATCTGCGTAATATTTCATTTTCCAATTTCCTTCGCAACCGTGAAAAATTCCCTTTCGGACGTGTTCGAAACGAAATATACAGAGTACAAAAACCTATACCTATGCGACACGACGCTGATGAAACTGATAAAGAAAAATTCTTATGCTCTATCGAACAAGTTACAGCTGGCGAATTTCTACCGCAAACATTAAGAATAACAATAATTTATGGTTAGCAAGATCAAATACTTTTCTTTTACACGCAACTATTCGAACACTATTTGCAAGAGAATATTCTTTCGTCTTGTATTATATTACGAAGTACACGTAGAAACGTGTAGCATTCTGCTCGGTTACATTGTACGTATTGAAAAATTCGTAATGCAACGTAGGGGTATACATAAGAAGGGTTGCTTGGTTCTCGGAGAATAAGGAATTTATTTTCTGCCCCCTTG